ACCATCTATGTTTAATCAACTTTACTGTCGAGTTCAATAACCATTCTTCAAGGCAGTGTTCATAAACTAAATATTTTAGTTTTTATTCCTCGGTTATAAGTTAAGTATTTAAATTATTATATTTTGTTTATAAGCTAAATATTTAAATGCTTGTTCCCCAGTTATAAGTTAAGTATTTAATTACATATACCTCGGTTATAAGTTAAGTATTTAAATACTTATACCTCGGTTATAAGTTAAGTATTTAAATTATCATATTTTGTTTATAAGCTAAATATTTAAATGCTTGTTTCCCAGTTATAAGTTAAGTATTTAATTACATATACCTCGGTTATAAGTTAAGTATTTTAATACTTATACCTCGGTTATAAGTTAAGTATTTAAATACTTATACCTCGGTTATAAGTTAAGTATTTAAATACTTATACCTCGGTTATAATTTAAGTATTTAAATACATATACCTCGCTTATAAGTTAAGTATTTTAATAGATATACCTCGGTTATAAGTTAAGTATTTTAATACTTATACCTCGGTTATAAGTTAAGTATTTAAATACTTATACCTCGGTTATAAGTTAAGTATTTAAATACTTATTCGTCAGTTATAAGTTAAGTATTTAAATACTTATTCGTTGGTTATAAGTTAAGTATTTAAATACTTATACCTCGGTTATAAGTTAAGAATTTAAATACTTATACCTCGGTTATAAGTTAAGTATTCAAATGCTCATGTCTCGGTTACATGCTAAGTATTTAAGTACTTATTTTTGGTTATATGTTAAATGCTTAAAGGCTTATTTTCATTTCCTGGTGAAATGGATTTCCTGTGAATGAAGAAGAACCATGTATGTAGTTGCATTAGCCGAAAAAGAATTTTTCTCCTTAAATCAAGTTTGACTTAACATACGTCTAGCTTCCAGCTAACCTTAAGAGATAGGATAGAGGGAAAATTTTTTTTCCCATCGATTCTTAGCGTTGATTATTTGTGTGTTTAACATTGCAATCTCAGACCAAGGCTGTTCTTTCTAAAGTGATTAATGATGCCGTTTGTATGGCTGGAAGTCGCATTTTTAAAAACTCACAGAAGACTACTAAATTTCCCACGTAATCAAAGCAAACAACTCTCTAAGTCGATATGATGTTGATGCATGGTTTCAGAGCTAATATTTTATGTCATGCCGTGCAGCTGGAGAACTGGGGTTTCCAACACAACGTGATTATATGAATGATCTTTATTAATCTTCTCAACGAGTTATTTCCTGAACTTTTCTTTAAACGTTTTTAACTATGTGGTATTAATTAAGGGAACAGTTTGTAAATGTTCAAGGACTCGTGTTCGATATCAGTAATGGAAACATCTACACAGTTTTGAATTTTTCAAGGATTCGATATTTCGTGTTTGATATCAGTAATGGAAACCTCTACACAGTTTTGAATTTTTCAAGGATTCGATATTTCGTGTTTGATATAAATTATGGAAACCTCTACGTAGTTTTGAATTTTTCAAGGATTCGATATTTCGTGTTTGATATCAATTAGGGAAACTCTACACAGGTTAGAATTTTTCAAGGATTCGATTATTCGTGTTTGACGTCAGTTTTGATTATTTTAATGCAAAGTATTATTTCAGGCCTTACATACAGTAAGTGAAGGGACGTGACAGCTTCCACTCACACAGATATAAGAGCGTGGGGACTCGTGCACGTGTTTGATATAATATATATAATGCAAAATTGCAAGTTTATTTAATTCCAAAGCCTAAATAATAATAGATAGGCAAACAACGATTTATCAGCACAATAAAGTTTTATTGATGGGGGAACATACTAGATGTTTCGACAGAACATTGGTTTGAAGAAGACAAACCACGTAGTATGTTCCACCATCAATATGACTTTTTTATTATGCTGATAAATCGTTGTTTGCCTATTTATTATCATATTAGCTTAATGTGCTTCCTTACTCAAGTACAAAGCCTGAAAGAGAGGGGTATTTTATAAATCTGCACAGTATTCGGTTAGGATATTACAGTTGGATAAAACAGACCTTCGTTATTATTATTACTTGTATTAAATATTTTTGTTGTTGTAAACAACAAGACAGTTGCCTTGGAGTTGGAAAATATATTAGAACATTTTGATTCAATTTTCTCTTTACAGTTTTTTATATATCAGATTTGCTGTCTCATTCCTTACTCCAGTCTTGCAACTATCATACAACGGTAAATCTATGAACTTGCAACGATAAAACGAACATTTTTTTGATAATATTAAAAAATGTATTTATTTGATTTATTTGTAATTAAGCACAAAGCTACACAATGGGCTATCTGTGCTCTGCCCACCACGGGTATCGAAACCCGGATTCTAGCGTTGTAAGTCCGCAGACATGTCGCTGGATGAAGAGTTTGTAGAGGAAAGATATAAAGAAGAACGTAACGCAGCTTAACTTCAAATTTTCAAATAAAAACACTTTGAATACTTAATATACGGGAATTTGAAGACTGCTGTACGAGTTCGGAGAAAAGAATGTTAATAATATACAAGAAAAAATATTACAAATAGTCCAATTTACCAATTTATAGGTCCATAATTTATTAAAATGATTAAGTCTGCCTTCGTTCGCATAAAATAATATTGTTTTAGTGTTGAAGCTATTTAGTAGCTAACTGCACATTTAGGTTGTGTGTGTACTAGTTTCAATTAGCCATAAGTCATATCATAAGTAGGCCATAAGATTGCCTGGTGTCTCTCAATTATTTAAGACGGCGAGTTTTCATGACACTTTTAACTGTGCTAAATATAGTAGTAAATAGATAGGTAATCTTTATAAGCTTTTTTACTATGTTTTACAAAAGGTTTAACATGTATTTATTTAGAATATAAGTCTTAATTTCAATTCAATTTACATTTTCGCGAGTGGCTTTGTAGTTAGCGTGCCATGACTGTTAATCCGAGGTTTAATGGTTCGAGTCCCCTTGTCGCAAAAGGGTGGTGTTGACTAGCTGCCTTCCTTCTAGTCTGGGCCCGGCATGGCCAGGTGGCGCTTGACTCGCAATCTGAGGGTCGCGGGTTCGAATATACGATATAAAAGTACAACCAGAACAATTCATATTTACTAGTTTAATTTATTAACTTATGGACGATATATACAAGGAATATAAGTACAAGTAATACATTGTTACTGCATGCTGTTATACACTATAACAAAATGGCCAGGTGGTTAGGGCGCTCGACTCGCAATCTGAGGGTCGCGGGTTCGAATCCCCGTCACACCAAACATGCTCGTCCTTTCAGCCGTGGGGGTGTTTTTTGTGACGGTCAATCCCACTATTCGTTGGTAAAATAGTAGCCCAAGAGTTGGCGGTCAGTGGTGATGACTAACTGCCTTCCCTCTAGTCTTACACTGCTAAATTAGGGACGGCTAGCGCAGATAGCCCTCGTGTAGTTTTGCGCGAAATTCAAAACAAACCAAACCCTCTAATCTATCAAT